TGGTTATATGAGAGACGGAATGTAAAGTACACATAAGAAAATTATGAGAAAATTACTTCCCATTAGGCCACTTAGAGTAGTTTTGTGTCACATTTTCTCATTCTATCATGATCAAGAGGAAATGCAAAATACAAGAAAAACTACCCTCAATTTTTAAGGCCTGATTCAAACACATGATACCACAGATGTAAATCCTTTTATACTTTATTGTGAAATTGTTATTGTTTTCTGTCACATGTTAGAATAACCACTTTGCTTCTCTCTCATCTGACAAATAATTATGTAAGCTATAAGTACTCATATCTGTTAAGAGTTTTTTCAGCTACAAATAACAGACATTATAATTCAAATTGTTGTACACAATAAAGATGGTTTATTAGTTAACAGAGTTACAAAGTCTAAAGGAGGGCAGGCTTCATTCGGGTATGCTTGATTTGATGACTAAATGATTTCACCAAGAACCTTTATCCCAAGACTGACTCTTTTTGTGGTCATGAGATAGTTGCCAACTGCAACTGAAATAATGTATGCTTCTCCTTCTAGTCCAAAAGGAGAGCACTTACCATCCTAACTATGGACTAAAACTGGATTAACTTTGGTCCAATTCCCTGAACCAATCACAGAAAGAAAATATGATTTTGCTGTTTGATTTCTGCCTACTGAGATCCCCATGGTTTTACCCAATGGTGAAGGGGTAGAGTGAGTGCTGGAGACACAACTGATCAAGTCCAAAATAAAAGTCAAAGATTTAATGAGGAGATTTTAATTACTGGTTTGTAAATTGTATCAATATTAAGGAATATATCACTTCCATATAAAGAGAGAGGAAAATAGAGTAAAAAAATCCACCACATTTACATATCCATAAACCTATTTTTATGCTTCTAATAGAAAATACAATAACCAATTTTAATCTGGATTTTATAAATTTCCAGTGTTCTTTTACTAAAAGTACCTATTTGAGTAAAGTTAAATTATCTAACTTGTAGAAGTACCTAAAAGTCTTTCTGAAAAAAAAAATGTTTCTCTTTATATAGTTAAATATTTATGAAGGGAAAATATAAATTCATTCTATCACCCTCAGAAATTTCCCTTGATTCTTTTATTTTGCATTATGATCTTAAGGGTCCCATAACTATTTTGCTTGATTAGCTCTTATTGACATAAACAGAACATTCTTGTATATGTGGAAATAAATAGGAGACCACTAAATTTGAAGGGCAGGTGTCCAATATTAAAACACACAGCACACCACAAATGACAATCTCTTTCTTGTTTCTTTTTATTTCATTAAATAGCTTCCTCTTACTTCCAGAGGAGTCCTCAGGACCATATGGATAGTGTGTGGAAGAACTATATAGGAAGGCCTTCTTTTGGCTTCTGGTGAATTAGGTCTTACAGATGTTCCCTGAGTCTTTTATATGAAATATTGGGAATTCCTAGAGCATTGGCCATACTAATTCCAAAGGAAATGCCAGAATGTATTTCACACACAAATGTGATTTTTGGATTATCTGCTTTTGTTCCTCTCCAATAGCTTGGAAAATTGAGTCAACTGCATGTGAACTTCTTATTCACAGCTAGACAGAATATAGCCTTCTCTGAATTATTCATGCTAATTGTGGAGAAGAAAAAAAAGTCATGAATAAATTAAATTTACAGATGAACAAAAATATCTGTATTTCCATGGCATATTGCATTTATCACTGAGATAGTATATTTCACAGTGTGTTATATTTATCATGTTTTGTCTATTAGACTTGGAATTTTGGAGGCACCCAGTGATAAGCAGTTGAAGCATGCACTAGAATCTCAGAAATTAACAAATCACAGCGGGTCATCTCAAAGCATTTTGTGTTTTTTGGAAGACAGATAAGAATATTAAGGTTCACAAAACAGTAAGACAATTGTATAGGGACACAAGGGCAAAGAAAGAGGGAATTTACCGGAACCAGGATATTTCAGGAGTAGGTAATAAAAAGCTGAATGTTAAAAGATGAGTTATCTAGCTGATGAGGAATACATAATGAAATAAGGAGACCTCGGAGCTTGCAAAGAACACCAAACATTTCTATTGAGTTTTGTCCAGCTCTCAGTAGAGCAAACATCTAGGGCTTGGTTTTTGCTGCAACTTCAACTGGTATCACGAACAGTTATGGCAGTTATGTTTAAAGTATTATGCAAAGAATCAAAGCATTTGAGGACTTACTTTTTAAAATGTAGATTACCGGATGCCACACCAGATCAATCAATATGGGTACTAGGGTTGGTCCCAAGAATCTGCATTGTTATCACTATCCAGATATTTTAAATGTTCACTAAAATTTGACAATTATTGTTCTATGACATTGGATACGCATTGTAATAACCTAGGAATCCCTAAAAGATGTCAATGTCTGGACCCATGAAGATGTTATAACTCAGTCATCATTATTTTTTTCATGGTTTCCTAGGTGATTCTAATGTACAGATGAGTTTGAAAATCACTTGTCTGAAGGAATGATCAGTGCATTGTTTTTCTTACCTTTTTTAAAAAAAAGATTATTTATTTTAGAGAGAGGGAGAAAGAGTGTGAACCTGTGCATGAGTGGGGAGAGAGGCAGAGGGAGCAGAGGATCGGTGGAGTGCTAGATCTCATGACCCCCCTCATGAGATCATAACCTATGAGATCATGACCCATAAAATCATGACCTGAACCAGAACCAAAAGTCAGACCCTTAACCAACTGAACCACCCAGGTGCCCCTGTTCTTACTTTTTTGCTGACACATCTCCATAATGACATTTGAGACCACAAAGTCATACAGTCATGGTCAGTTTCTGTAACTAAAACCCACTTCTACTAGTGCCATAGCAATGACAATCTGGTTTTTGTGTTTGTGTTTGCCAATAATTTGAAACGGACCTTAAAATCTAGTCCAACCACCTAATTTTGCCTTTATCCAAAACATATTCAGGATAACTGAAAGAATATTAAAACAAAATCTTTAGGGAGAACGTATCTGGCAATCTCAAGTACTGTGTATTGAGATTTAAAAACTGTTCCAAGAGCTCTATATCAGGCAGCTCCAGAACCTTAGTTTCATGAATATATTTTGACAGTGATATGTCTTTCTACACATGTGAATACACCCAACTAATTATTGTGGGTTTTCAAGTATCAATGTTTTCTTTCAAGGTCCGGTGTTTGTTGTAAGATAATTTAGGGAAAAGTCAGAATGTTTTTCTTCCAATTTTATTGAGATGTAATTGAATCACATTGTATTAGTTTAAGGTGTACAACATAACCATGGGATATATGTGTATATATTGTGAAATGATTACCAAAAGAAGTTTAGTTAAAATCCATCACCTCACATAGCTATAATTTTTTTCTTGCGATGAGAAGTTTTAAGTTCTACTCTTTAAGCAACTTTTTTCTTTTTTTTTTTTTTAAAGATTTTATTGATTTATTTGACAGAGAGATAGGGCCAGAGAGCATAAGTTAGGGAATGGCGGAGAGGGAGAAGCAGACTCTCTGCTAACCAGGGCTTGGTCCTAGGACCCTGGGATCATGACCTGAGTGGAAAGCAAATGGAACCAACTGAGCCCCCCAGATGCCCCTCTTAGCAACTTTAAAACATACAATACAGTATTGTTCCCTATAGTCCTCATGGTGGACATTACATCCCAGGACTTACTTATTTTACAACTGGAAACTTGTACTTTTTTTTTTATCACCTTCACCCATTTCCTCTATCTCTGGCAACCACCAATCTGTTCTCTTTTTCTAGAAGTTCATTACTTTTAGATTCCACATATTTAGTATTCATCTTTTTCTCTCTGACTTATTTCACTTAGTATAACACCCTCAAGGTCACTTCATGCGTCATAAATGGCAGGATTCTCTTTTTTTATGGATGAGTAAAGTTTTATTGTTATAAATATACAAAATAAATATAAAATATTTAATATTTGATTGCATGTAAGTATACAGACTAAATATATATACACATATAAACATACATATATATGTGTGTATATATAGTTATACATATATACACTTATACACATATATGTGTGTATATATATAGCTATTTCTATGTATTGACTATTGTAAATAACACTACAATAAACATAGGGGTGCAGATTTCACTTCAAGGTACTGATTTCTTTTCCCTCAGATATATACCCAGAAGTGGGATTGCTGGATCATACAGTAGCTCTATTTTTAATTTTTTAATGAATTCCCATACTGTTTTCCACAGTGGCTGCACTAATTCACATTCTCACCAACAACACACAAGTGTTACCTTTACTCCACATCCTCACCAACACTTGTTATCCCTTCTCTTTTTGATGATAGCCATTCCTACAGAAGTGAAGTAGTATCTCCTTTTGGTTTTGATTTACAGTTCCTTGATGATTAGTGATGCTGAACACTTTCTCCTACCCCGTTTGTCATTTGCATGTTTCTTTTGGAAAAATGTCTATTCAATTCCTCCGCCCGCTTTTTCATTGGATTGTTTTTTGCTATTGAGTTCTACAAGTTCTTTGTATATTTTGGATATTGACCCCTCATCAGATATATGACTTGCAAATATTTTCTACTATTCAGTGAGTTGCCTTTTATTCTGTCAGTGACTTTCCTTCTGTCAGTGCCTTTTATTCTGTGTGGAGGTATTTTTACCTCACTTGTTCATTTGCTTGTTTTTCCTAGTATCTATTAGAGGCAATACCTCCCCATCTTCCTTAGATAAAAACCATGATAGGAAGGTACTGTCTATCTATCTATCTATCTATCTATCTATCTATCTATCTATCTATATCTATCTATCTATCTATCTATCTATCTATATCTATCTATCTAGGCATGGCTCTTTTCAGTTTATTGCATCAAAGAGTTATACTAGTTCAACTTAAGAGCAGACCCTGAATGGTTACATTATACAAGCTGTGAGGTTTCTAAACTTGTGACAAGGGACAGAAGGGAAATTCTACTCATTGCAAGGAAATCCTCACTTAAGCTTCCATGAGCCAAAAGCACTTAAAACCCATGAGCTTCAGCGGATCATCGTTAGCCAGTCCAATGTCTAGGAGAAACCGGCATATGTTCTTGCACTGGTCACCCTGTAGCTGAATGACTTCTCCATATTCTGGATGCTCAGCTGCAGTGCCATTGCAAGCAAATTTCTTCTTAAACACCTTCACTAGTTTCTTTTTATCATAGTCATTAGTCATCCCTTGGACAGTTAGTAAAGGTCTTCCTACCGTTTCTCTGCTGATTTTTTTTTAAATATTTTATTTATTTATTCATGAGAGACACACAGAGAGAGGCAGAGACATAGGTAGGCAGAGAGAGAGGCAGGCTCCCTGCAGGGAGCCTGAGGTGGGACTTGATCCCAAAACCCTGGGATCTCAATCTGAGCCAAAGGTGGCCACTCAACCACTGATAGACCCAGGTGCCCTTCTGTTGAATTCTTATATGGATATAATCCTCAGTGCCAGCAGGAAGCAGATCATCACTCTTCTTTGCATCAGCAAAGGGGTAGAAAAAGTGGAGAATCTGGATAGCTGACATAAGATTCCTTTTCCCCTGTGGAAATGGCCTGTGGAAAGGGGTGGGGGGAGGCACAGAGCATGGAGAAGTAAGGGCGTTCATGGGGGAGGCTGCTGAGCCCTCAGGAGTGACTCAGTGACTGGTGCCAGGAAGGTACTTTTTAAATGGACCCTCACCTCTCAAATCTATGTTGTTCGGCCACTACTTGTTTGGCATACATCTCTCAAATGTTGAGAAGTGACAAAGGAGGTGAAGTCAGCCACTGGCTCTATTTCCAGCTGTACCGGGAGGTAGGAAGAATCTGAGACTCGTCTACTTGTTTTGGATACAACATGGGGAGAAAGATAAGAGTACCACAAAGTTGGATGTAAGAGGATAATTTCACTCATTTGTTGGCTGTAATAATGGAAGCTCTGGAAATTGTAATACAGGTTAATCAAGTAATAATGGCAGATGAGGGGAAGAAAAAGAATAAAGCAATAAATCATTCTCTTTCCATTTTTGTTGAAGATAGTTGCCAGCTGTTTTAAGTCTGGGGCCAGTGTTGTTTACCATGGAAGTTTAGGTTGCTGAATAAAGCTAAGAACAAGGTCATGTCTTCTTGTGTGTGTGTGGTAAATAGCAAAACCACCGCCCTTCCACACACTGTGAGGCACTTCCTCTCCAAACTATTTCTACATAATGACGGGAAGTGAAAAGGAAAATGTGCAATCCATCTGAAAGCATCTCTTTCATCACTTTCCTAATAGTGTCTTCAGGACAGATAAGAGATTTTATTACATTTTGTCCAATGTAATGCACCTAGAAAAATGTTGGTTTGTTCTTGGCCTGGACCATCAGTATCACCAATAGCATTCATGATACTGAACAAGATATTATCTACAGGAAACCAAATACATTTACTCATTGTTTTTATGAGGTTAAAAATCAAAACCAACTGATTTCCTGAATGGGGCCAGCAAAAACAAGGTGAAGGCGAACATGTGACACCTTGCAGTGCCAGGAAGTAAGGAAGAAAAAAAAGCAGAGGGCAGCCCAGGTGACTCAGCAGTTTAGCACCGCCTTCAGCCCAGGGCCTGATCCTGCAGACCCAGGATCTAGTCCTGCGTCAGGCTCCCTGAATGGAGCCTGCTTCTCCTTCTGCCTGTGTCTCTGCCTCTCTCTCTCTCTCTCTCTCTCTCTCTCTCTCTCTCTCTCTCCATGAATAAATAAATAAAGTCTTTAAGAAAAAAAAAAAGCAGGGAGCATGTTAAAGGAGCAAAGAAGCCAACCTGAAAGACCACAATGATCAAAGCTAGAACAATTTAAACAACATAAGTAATTAATGTAGTGTTGGATTATAATCCAAAGTATAAAATCAGTATCTTTGAATCTACATGGATATAAACAAATGAAGAAAAAGAGACAATTCCCTTTTACTGTAGAATTTCTGATAATTTATGTAGATACTCTCCCTTGTAAAAAATGGAGCTCAATTCCCCTTGAATGTGGAGTGGATTTAGTGACTCGCTTCCAACATTAAGATCATTGGTGATAAATCATGTTAATACCATGTACCCCCTTATATGATATGGTGAGAATAGCATTTCATCATGTAGCATTTTTCCCAAAACTCACGACCCCAGCCCAGCCATGAGAAAAACATAAGACAAACCTATATTTCAGGGACATTTTGTAAAATACCTAATCGATATTCCTCAAAACCATCAAAGTCACAAAAAAAAACAAGGAAAGACTGAGAAACTGTCTAAGACCAGAGAAGACTAAAGGAAACATGATGACAAAATACTATATGGTATTCTGAATTGGGTCCTGGACCAGAACAGACACCAGTGGAAAAACCAATGAAAACCTGCAGTTCAGGTTAATAGTAATGCACCAATATTCTTAGTTGTGACAAATGTACCCTGTGTAAGATGGTAACGGTGGGAGAAAGTAGGGGAGAGGTTTGTGAACTCTCCATGCTCCCCTTGAACCTTTTTTGAATATTGAAAACTATTCCAAAATAAAAACCATGTTGAAAAAATAAAAGACAAGTCAACATTTAAAAGCATGTAGGATGAAGCTATCCAAAAGCATGTATCTGATACATGATATGCAGGTAATTTTAAAAAAATTGGGAATTAGGTGTACTTTAGAGGGAAAAGACCAAGGACATGCGATGATACCTAAATGCATGTAATTTAAAGTGGCTCCACCTTTTTGGGGACAATCCAGGAAGGCTTCCTATATCAACTTTCTTCCTTTTTCTGTCTTTTAAAAAAGATTTTATTTATTTATTTGGGAGAGCAAGAGACAGAGCATGAGCAGGAAGCAGGGGCGGGCAGGGGGGAGGACAGAGGAGAGGGAGAAGCAGGCTCCCCACTGAGCAGGGAGCCCAGTGAAAGGCTTGGAGAGGGAGCAACAGAATTTGGAGGAGAATTTTATTTCCATCGTAAATTGTATAAATTTTGATCAGTGTTGGATAGTGTCCAGGTTACTCCAACCTCCTCAGTCTCACTTCTCGGCCAGTGGTTCTTAAGGAATAGGGTGAAAATCACCTGCATATTGACTCCTGGGCCAGACCTACTGACTGGGGTAGAAGTCTGATCTACCACTGGCCCCAGGTAATTTTTTGTCCACCACTATGGGAGGTCACAAATCCTATAGGAATTTAGGACATCCCAAAGGAATTTTCACCTTTAGTCTTTGCTTCCTTTTATGGAAGAACCTGAAACATTTTTAGCAGTCTCCTAACTTTAAATGAAAACTGAGGTGCTTCAGAATTCAGAGACTGAGAAAGCTTTGTTTTCAATTCCTTATTAGGAAGAATCTATCAACCCCATAATAAAGGACACATAAAAATAAAATTTCCTCTGACTGTTTCTCAATCTCATTTCCAAGGACCCTTTAAGGCTTTTCTAAGACCCAGATATAAATGGCTACACTGAGAAGTGTTCTTACACATCTAAACATTACTTCCGTTTATGTGCTCCCTTATCTTCAATGGGTTTCTTGCCAGTTTTCCAGACTAATGATAAACTATCATTAGTATATAATATGAATAGAGAATTAGGCTAAACTTTGGTAAAGAATAGATCATTTTAGCTGACACTACTTGGTTTAAAAATTCCCTGAAAAAATGTTTCTTTTCTCAAAGTTAGCATAATTTCAACTGTTTGTGTGTCTCCATTTTTCTTTGATAGCTAAAATTTCCATTGTCTGCCTCATTGTGGACATATCACTCTCATTTCCTTCTCATTTCATTTAAAATGGTCAAGTTGTCTTTCATGTTAATTAGCTTTAAACAAGAAAAAAATATCTCTGTGCACGTAATAACCAACTCCAAATAGGCATTATTTCATTATCTTCATGCTTTAGAGACATAATGGCTGCTTGTTACAGCACAGCAGAACTAGTATAAATTAGATCTCAATGGGTTATTCATTAAAAAGCAGCATAAAATGCCTCGGAAAGCTAGGTCCTTTAGCTAAGTTTAATGGTACTTTTCCCATAAAACTTTCCTAATGTTGCTCTTGTAGTTCAAACATGAATCTATTTTAATTAATTTCTAAATCCTTTACTCAAAAATAATAACTTAAAAGGAAGAGATTTTTTTTTCTACTCTTTTTTTTTTATAAATTAATTTTTATTGGTGTTCAATTTACCAACATACAGAATAACACCCAGTGCTCATCCCGTCAAGTGTCCCCCTCCGTGCCCGTCACCCATTCACCCCCACCCCCCGCCCTCCTCCCCTTCCACCACCCCTAGTTCGTTTCCCAGAGTTAGGAGTCTTTATGTTCTGTGTCCCTTTCTGATATCTCCCACACATTTCTTCTCCCTTCCCTTATATTCCCCTTCACTATTATTCATATTCCCCAAATGAGTGAGAACATACACTGTTTGTCCTTCTCCGATTGACTTACTTCACTCAGCATTAAAAGGAAGAGATTAATGCTGATTAAGCCTTATGAAGAAAAAATCTAAAACATCAGCCCTGATGTTTCTAAATAAATGCTATTAAGATCTGTACATATGTTTTTGTGCATGGACTCAATATTCCCTAAGAAAATAGTATGTAAAAAGCTGGTGACAGCCACTGAAATATTATATTTAATTATTCCATTGACATTAGTCATTTTAAAACAAGTAATTCATCCCTTTAATATTTTGGACACTAAAGTAGCATAATCTTTACCAAGTTACAATGATTAGTAGTCCTTTATTTTTTTTTTAAATTTTTTTTTTAATTTTTTATTTACTTATGATAGTCACAGAGAGAGAGAGAGGCAGAGACACAGGCAGAGGGAGTAGCAGGCTCCATGCACCGGGAGCCCGACGTGGGATTCGATCCCGGGTCTCCAGGACCGCGCCCTAGGCCAAATGCAGGCGCCAAACCGCTGCGCCACCCAGGGATCCCTGATTAGTAGTCCTTTAGACAGAATCCTTTGTAATCTAAAAACCTTTAGAGTATTTTTTTTCCTGCTAGAAGATATATGTGTTTGCATGGCATTTAGCTCTATTTCAGTTCATACAGGGGGAAAGCCTTCCAGTTCTAGAACATATAGAAATTAGTTATGACATTTTGAATAAAGATCCTTCCATTCATTTACTCAGCAAAAATTTTCTTAACCCTTTTCATATGCCAGGCACTATACCAAAAACCCTTTGAGACAAATATGAATAAGGCAGATATGCTTCCTGCCCTTATAGAGCTTGGAAACTAGAGCTATTATTTTATCCCTAAAATAAGATGACTAAAATATAAGGCTTTTTGTCATTTTTATGCTAGTCAGATTCACCTCATATTAACCAATAAGATTGTATAACACCAAATTGTTACTTTTTAAACAACACAATAAAAAAATACAGAATTTTAAACATGGTAGAAATCTAAGGCATATATTTTATATGAAATAATTAGTGATCAAGGCATTAAGAGTGATCACTGCATTTATGACATAATTCAGTCAACTATATGGTAAAATTCAAAAACAGGAAAGTATCTGACAAGATTCTAATTCTGTGATATAAGCCAC